TTTTTATCATTAACGAAGCTTCACACTCGCGTCTGGCAGCTTGGAACAAAAATAACCTCAACATGTTTGATGGGTTGTGTCTCCTAAGAGGTATAACTGAATCTGTAATGTACAGCAACGTAATGCATTGCACTGCAGTCTCTACAAATACTGTGTTCAATATTATGTCTACACATACGGTACTGCAATGGGCTGCATTGAGTCAGTGGGACTCGTGGTCATCCAGAACAGAGCGTACAACGGATAACGACGCAATTCCCGATCCACAAATATGAAGGAGACACCACAGCGATGAAGATACACTCCAGCCAGTGATCTGGGCTTGACCACTCGAATATGAAATGGTAAAGTTGTTCCTCTGCAATCTACATCAAGCCAAACGAAAGACGGAACGCCGATGGGGCCACGGTATGTGAATGTGTCAGCGTGTGTCAAGAGCAAGTTGAATTGTACGCAGTGGCTGTAAATGACATGATCTCGAATTGTCTCCGCGTCGAGCAATGCACCGACAATTTATGGAAAAAAATCACTCCACACTGATTTGTGAGAAGACCCCCCCCCCTCTCCCACCTCGGCTCCAACAATGGCAACAACCCTCATCGTTGCTGAATCTTTCCTCCAAAATCCACATTTGACATCCACAATGTTGTACTCTATATACGCCATCACCAACCGGTCATGGTAAAGTATGGTCAAGTAACCACCGCCACTGCCCCCCCCTCCCCCAACATTGAAAGTCCATCATCCAGCAGTCGATTGACAAAAAGACCGTACAAGAATGTAGTTTTTGTTTTCATTACACCACCCCGGTATGTACTACCTACATCCCGTAACAATCACTGTGAAATCGTGTACGGCCAGCCCTATTGTTAACGCAATTTGTTGGAAGAGGGCCTCTCCAGTACGGTTATTGTTGTTTTCTTTCTGACCATACTTCACCGCGCTGGTCAACGTGTGTTGGAGCCCCAGTGTGATATGGTACTTTATTTGGGTACTTGTCATGATTAAAACTGGACTTGCCGTGTGTGTATGAAAAAAATAAGAATACGTTTTACTCTTTCTGGCAATGAAACAGGATGTGTTAACGTGTTCGAACAGCACATGAACCTTTTGCAAGGAATAAAGTCTGCATGAACCACACACGTAGTTGTGGTGAACATGTAAACAAACACGCTCCACTATATAACACGATTTTTGTTCCTGGGTAGTAAAGTGTTATTTTCTAATTGCGTATGCCTCAAGTGTTAAGAAAATGGCTATTATACCCCACAAACTTTGCTTTTGTGACCAGGACTTTATGTGAACGAATGACACAAATGCACACCACGTTTTCTCATTGAAAATAGGTACATTTCAAAATATCACTGTCCTGGTCACAAAACCAAAGTTTATGGGGCATAATAGCCATTTTCTGTACTTTTGAGGCATAAGCAATATAGTCTGCAATAAAGTTTGTCTGCATGTTCACCACAAGCACGTGTTGTTAATGCGAACATGATTCCTTACAAAAATGTTTCTATTTGGCGTTTGGACATCTTAACACCTCCTTGGTTTATTGCCAGAGGGGGTAAACCATATTCTTATTTTTGTTAATACTTTTAATACTAGCAAAAGGTCAAATTTTTGCCGTGTGTATGTGTCAAGTATGTTCTTGAATGGGAGAAATATTGCGCTTTCGCCCCTGGAAGCTCCGTGTAGCCAAGGCAGAGCAGTGCAATATTGGACGTGCATACTGTATATTAAAACTGAGCACTGCCGTTATCTTAAATATCAAATCCCAAATTAAATCCAAGGCAGCATTTGAACAGCACCCCGGGACATTACTCCCCGGGTTACACGAGTCTACGACAAATAACACATTGTGTATGACAGACAAGTTACTAGCGAACTAAATCTCATCATGTTAACACTCAATGCAGTAACTGTGCAGCACGAAATATTAATTCCTAGGAGTGGATTGTGTGGTACACATGCATTGTGTACACGTCCACCTCATCCAGCGGTGGAGTGTGTGGTACACATGCATTGTGTACACGTCCACCTCATCCAGCGGTGGAGTGTGTGGTACACATGCATTGTGTACACGTCCACCTCATCCAGCAGTGATTGTGTGGTACACATGCATTGTGTACACGTCCACCTCATCCAGCGGTGGATTGTGTGGTACACATGCATTGTGTACACGTCCACCTCATCCAGCAGTGGAGTGCATGGTACACATGCATTGTGTACACGTCCACCTCATCCAGCGGTGGATTGTGTGGTACACATGCATTGTGTACACGTCCACCTCATCCAGCGGTGGATTGTGTGGTACACATGCATTGTATGCACGTCCACCTCATCCAGCAGTGGAGTGACGAGAGCTTGTACACACAAACACATGCAAAAGTCCCCCCCCCCCCCACCGTATAGCCTAAATACACTTTTGGGGCAAGTGCTCTTAGCGTTCAACGCATGGGGAGTGTGGAAGGTGGTGCTGCCGTGGATAGCAGCACCGCGCCCGGCCGCCTTTGTCTCCCCGGTGGCGGTGAGTCGACCTTGGTGGAGGACCCAGCGGCGGTGCTCTGATAGCTCACGCCACTGACGTTAGCCGTGGCTGGGGGAATTGAACTCAGGTCGCAGGGTTCGTAGGGGCTTACATATACAGTACTGTACACACACACGACAATATACAGTATAAGCACATACACTGTACTGTGTACATATACAATAAAGATAAAGATCCCCCGTATAGCCTGTAACAGGCTATAGGGGCAAGTGCTGTTAGCGAGCACCTACAGACACAACAAAGACAAAGATCCCCCGTGTAGCCTGTAACAGACTGTAGGGGCAAGTGCTGTTAGCGAGCACCTACAGACACAACAAAGATAAAGATCCCCCGTGTAGCCTGTAACAGGCTGTAGGGGCAAGTGCTGTTAGCGAGCACCTACAGACACACAACAAAGACAAAGATCCCCCGTGTAGACTGTAACAGACTGTAGGGGCAAGTGCTGTTAGCGGGCACCTACAGACACACAACAAAGACAAAGATCCCCCGTGTAGCCTGTAACAGACTGTAGGGGCAAGTGCTGTTAGCGAGTAGCACCTATAAAGGCCGGCACGGCGCACGAGGGGGTGGGTGTGCAGCACCACCACGCCCGGCCGCCTTTGTCTCCCCCAGTGGCGATGTTTACTACAACACCGCTACGCCAGGTACTCATTTTAGGCTGAGTCAACCTAGGGGGATGTATGGGACCGGTTCATTTAATCGTCACTGGTGTTGGCCGTGAGTGGGAAATTGCATACATGCAGATAGACACACACACACGGGCTGTACAACAATGTTCAGATTACAATACTACACAGGTGCTTAATGCGAGTTAACTGCGAGATCACTAAATTTACATCCCCCTCCCCTCTAAGTATGTCCTGCAAGTACAGCAGGAGAGAACGCCACTATCTCCTACAACCGGCAGCAAAACCCATATTTATCACAGTTATACATTAACAGAATATATCTATTTTTAAAACAGCACGTGTATTGTTGTGTCAGGCTATGTGGTTGCCGACAACACGGCACTGAGATTCATCGTGCAACAAGCAGCAGCATTTGATGATGATGCCGATTAACATTGTTGGGAGATGATGATTTTGATAGTGGTGGTGGAAATTTTATATCAGCGTGATTATCGTCAACATTATCATCGTCCGATCGATCGTTTTCAATCGACTGCCAATGATTGAAATTGTACATTGACAGTAAGGCGATGAAGACTATAATATAACAGTGGTAGTCGACACGGTTATGGTAGCAGATTAAATATCACAATGGCTGCTGCAGACAGTTGGTGAATTATAGTGATAGATGATGAAGGTATTGTAAAATGTTAGATACACAATCATGCTTACCATCATCACGATGGTACTGCAATGAAGTGAAAGTAACTAAGAGTAGCAGATGAGGACCGTGGTGGTGGTGTTTATTGTAAGGACAATGAAATATGAAGATGTAATTGTTCATTATATGGTTTAAAAAAGGTCGACAACTTGTGTGTGTGTGTGGGACCCTATTAGTTTTACAAGAGTGCAGACCACCTCAATAACAAACACTCCAAGGGAAAAGACAATCGCAAGACTTGTGAATATACTAGACCCATTATGCCCACCGAACCCATCATGACGCCCACCGGACCCATCATGATGCCCACCGAACCCATCATGACGCCCACCGGACCCATCATGATGCCCACCGGACCCATCATGATGCCCACCGGACCCATCATGACGCCCACCGAACCCATCATGACGCCCACCGGACCCATCATGATGCCCACTGGACCCAACATGATGCCCACCGGACCCTCATGATGCCCACCGGACCCATCATGCTGCCCACCGGACCCATCATGATGCCCACCGGACCCAACATGATGCCCACCGGACCCTCATGATGCCTACCGGACCCATTATGATGCCCACCGGACCCTCATGATGCCCACCGGACCCATCATGATGCCCACCGGACCCTCATGATGCCCACCGGACCCATCATGATGCCCACCGGACCCAACATGATGCCCACCGGACCCAACATGATGCCCACCGGACCCATCATGCTGCCCACCGGACCCAACATGATGCCCACCGGACCCTCATGATGCCTACCGGACCCATCATGATGCCCACCGGACCCATCATGATGCCCACCGGACCCATCATGCCCACCAAAACAAAGGCAAATATCCCCCGTGTAGCCTGTCGGGGCAAGTGCTGCTAGCGAGTAGCAACCCACGAAGGCCGGCACTGTAGCACACGAGGTTGGTGGGGTGGCCAGAACCACCACGCCCGGCACCTTTGTCTCCCTCCACCCCCCCAGTGGCGACGTTTACGACACACCACACCAGGTACTCTTTTGAGGCTGAGTCGACCTAGGGGAGGAGGCCCAGCCAGTACCGGTTCAAATGTCTACAGTGTAGGTATCCCAGACCCGCAATGCCCACCACACACACACAACGTACCTTATGACATTGGTGAGCACCATGGTGTTGTGTACAGGGTTAAAAGAAGGTTGTTGGATGGCAGCAGAAGCAGCAGTAGCGGCGACAGCACAGCAGCACACCGATGTTGTAACATAGAGGAAGGGAGGACGTCGTATGTATGGTGCGTGGTGTGTGTGCTCTGAGTGATTGTGAAGCCCGTGCCGAAACTGGACGGAATGTGAACTGCACGGGGAACATTGAGTCGACACGTGAACACTCCAACCCCACCCCAACACACACACACAAAGATCCCCCGTGTAGCTTCAGCAGACTGCCGGGGCAAGTGCTGTTGGCGAGCGCCGATGTCAAAAGCCGGCAAACGGCTCAAGGGGTGGCACGGGTGGCCACCAACAACGCCCGCCCGTCCGCCTTTGTCTCCCCCAGTGGCGATGTCTTTTTGTTTCGTTGCACACCGCACCCAGGCGCTCATGTGAAGCCGAGTGGACCACGGGGAGGAGGAGGTTGATGATGATAGTCGTCAATCGGTGCTGGTGGCCGTGAGCGGGAATCGAACCCTGGACCAGGGGGGGTTTGTCCGGTACCTCGCTAAAACTACCGCTACACACACACGAAGCCAACACACAAACAACAACACACAACAAACAACAACACAACAAACAACACACGAAGCCAACACAACAACACACACACACGAAGCCAACACACACAACAACACACACACACCAATAACACAACAACACACGAAGCCAACACAAACAACAACACACTCACTCACGAAGCCAACACAACAACAACACACGAAGCCAACACACACACAACAACAACACACTCACTCACGAAGTCAACACACAACACACACGAAGCCAACACACACAACAACACACACACGAAGCCAACACAAACAACACAACAACACACTCATGAAGCCAACACAAACAACAACACCACACACAACGCGCGCGCGCACGAATTTCCACGTACCCCGAGTGTACGTAGCAGGATCCACCACCAACAAACACCACCACCAACAAACACCATCATCACCAACAAACACCATCACCACCACCAACAAACACCATCATCACCAACAAACACCATCACCACCAACAAACACCATCACCACCAACAAACACCACCAACAAACACCATCACCACCACCAACGACAAACACCATCACCACCACCACCACCAACAAACACCATCACCACCAACAAACACCATCACCACCAACAAACACCACCAACAAACACCATCACCATCACCACCACCAACAAACACCATCACCACCACCAACAAACACCACCAACAAACACCACCACCACCAACAAACACCACCAACAAACACCATCACCACCACCAACAAACACCATCACCACCAACAAACACCATCACCACCACCAACAAACACCACCACCACCAACAAACACCACCACCACCAACAAACACCACCACCACCAACAAACACCACCACCAACAAACACCATCACCACCACCACCACCACCACCAACAAACACCACCATCATCACCATCACCACCACCACAACCAAACACCATCACCACCAACAAACACCATCACCACCAACAAACACCACCACCAACAAACACCATCACCACCACCACCAAACACAACCACCACCACTACCAACAAACACCATCACCACCACCAACAAACACCATCACCACCAACAAACACCATCACCACCACCACCACCAAACACAAACACCACCACCACCAACAAACACCATCACCACCAACAAACACCATCACCACCACCATCATCACCATCACCACCACCAACAAACACCACCAACAACAAACACCACCACCACCAACAAACACCACCACCAACAAACACCATCACCACCACCAACAAACACCACCACCAACAAACACCATCACCACCACCAACAAACACCACCACCACCATCATCACCATCAATGCTTCCCCGGCATTTTCCCCACCACCTCTCCGCATAATGCGGTGGTGGCCAGCAGCGAGGGGCTCTCCGTTCCAGCCGAACCGGCGGCGGGAGCTATCGCGCCCTCTACCGTTCGCCTGCCTCGACGAACACGAAGATTCATTAAGAGCAAGGGGTGTTGGGAATCCCACACATACTCTTTGGTTCTTTCGGTTAAAGTCACGTTGGTAGAAAAATAATAGATCACAACGTTTCGATCGCAAGCAACACAAGCAATCGTCATCAGGTGTGGGACAACCACGGCAAGAAAATAACTGCTGAAGGGTTAAATTTTTGATTTAAAGCTTTCGTGACTGCAGTAATTCATATTCTTAGCGCTTTCGGTAAAGTCACGTTGAAGGGAAACAATAAAGTAATAAAATATATAAAACAATAAAAAAATGTATTGTTAACATTTTTATTGTTAAAATGTTTTTTATTGTTTTATATATATTTTATTATTTTATTGTTTCCCTTCAACGTGACTTTACCGAAAGAGCTAAGAATATGCTGAAGGGTTGTGTCACACCTGATGACGATTGCTTGTGTTGCGATCGAAACGTCGTGATCTATTAGGGGCCGTCCATAAATGACGTCACGCGATTTTGGACGATTTTTGAACCCCCCCCCCTCTCCTTCGTCACATGGCGTCACAAAAAGTCAGACCCCCCCCCTCAAATATGACGTCACAAAGCTCTGCCCCCCCCCCCCAAAAAAATAAACGTGATTCAAATCGCTTTAAACTATTGTCTTTGTAGTGCGAATTTAATGTGGCGGTGCACTCTGATGTTGTAGGAGAAAACATTTATTTAAAAGTCTATTTAATTAAGTAGAACGTGTTGTCTATCTTTATTTAAAGTTGCGCATTTTGATGTGACGTCACATTTCTCAACCCCCCCCCCCCTCGTCACACATCGTCACAAATGTCTGAACCCCAAACCCCCCCCCCCAGGTGCGTGACGTCATTTATGGACGGCCCCTTATTTTTCTACCTACGTGACTTTAACCGAAATAACCAAAGAGTATGGATTCCTGCAGTCACGAAAGCTTCAAATCAAGGTGTTGGAATGTTTTTATTTGTAACGTCCGGGCAAATAAGCGTGATTGCGATAGGTGCAAAAACAGGTTTCCTGCTCATTTGGAAAGGTTATCGTGCATTAGGGGCCGTCCATAAATGACGTCACGCACCTGGGGGGGGGTCAGACATTTGTAACGAGGGAGGGTGAGAAATGTGACGTCACATCAAAATGCGCAACTTTAAATAAATATAGACAACACGTTCTACTTAATTAAATAGACTTTTAAATACATATTTTCTCCTACAACATCAGAGTGCAGCGCCATATTAAATTCGCACTACAATGACAATAGTTGAAATAGATTTGAAGCATGTTTTATATTTTTTTTGGGAGGGGCAGAGCTTTGTGACGTCATATTTGAGGGGGGGGGTCTGACTTTTTGTGACGCCGTGTGACGAAGGGGGGGGGGGTCAAAAATCTTCCAAAATCGCGTGACGTCATTTATGGACGGCCCCTAACCCCTCAGTGGCGATGTTTACGCGCACAGCACCGGGTACTAATTTGAGGCTGAGTCAACCTAGGGGAGGCACGGGACCGGTTCAGATAATCGTCACTGGGTGTTGACCGTGGGCGGGAATCGAACTCGGGGTCACCCGGGGTTTCGGAGCGCTAACCGCTGCACCACCGCTCCTGTCTCTCACACTCACACACACCCCACTGGCACTTATAACTACCGACGTGTTCTATGTACGGTATATTATTCGTGCGTACGGACAATATGTTCACTTTGGGGGGGAAGTATGGTCAAATACTGTCAACCCCCCCCCACTGCCGCTCCCCATCCACGCACGGCCTTGCAGGGAGTTAAGGGGGTGCTCCTCATCCAGCAGTGGATTGACACAAAGGGCCGCGCCGTGTTCGTGTGCTTATGCAGCCGTAGATACACAATGCCTCGCTGTACTGAACAAATACATTACAAAACATTTGCGGTGTCTTAAGGTGGGGTGTGCTACAGCAGGCAAACATTGCAAACCACGCAGAGTATGCGTAGTAAGAGCCGTGGGATATCCCATTGTTGAAGTGAGCGGCAGAGCCGTTCCCTAAAGGGGGTACACGACGAATCGGGGGCGACCGCACCGGGCCCCGCGCTTTGGGGGGCGCGTTTTGAGGTCACGGTGTCAGAAGTAATACTGCTCCCCTCCCCCAGCCCCCCCCCCCCCCCCCACTACAGACAGCTCTAGTAAATCTACCGATTAAGTGTTCGACTGAACGTGCAGTAGGGAAAGTCTCACCTGTCCCCACGTGTGCCGCTGGACGGGAGGTGTTTTTTTCCATGGGGGGGGGGCTTTTTTGGGGGACGCACCGCCCGTCATCATGAGCCGCGTCACGCTGTGCGAGAGGCTCGGAAGTAGTGGGGGGGGGGGGTCCCAACTTCGAGTAGGGAGGATGGAGAGGACGGTGGGGGCCCAGAACGGCCGCCGATATTAAAGGGTCATCGAGTGATCCCATAGTTGTCAAACCCGTATTCTTGTACAGGGAAATTAAGTTGTCAGGTCCGTGAGGCGCACAGCCGTTTTAATACGTGCATATTATTTTGTTTTTGTCCAATTATGTGTGTCTCCCTTGTGATGGGGCGTTGTAGGATGAACTTTGATATTTCTAAGGGGTACGGGGTGACCAATAATGTCTGAATTGGTCTGTAATAAGGTAGGGCACTGATAAGGTGTTTACAGGTTTGTCATGGTGAATGTACTCGTGGTGAGTGTACAAATGGTGAGTGTACTAGTGGTGAGTGTAGTGGTGGTGTTTGTCTATTGGTTTGTGTTTATCCCTTGTGATGGGACGTGTTAGGATGAACGTTGAGATTTATAAGGGCACGGGGTGACCAATGAGGTCTGAATTGGTCTGTAATGAGGTAGGGCACTGATAGGTTTGTAATCGACCACAATAACAGCAGCCCATTGTAGTCTTTGCAGGCCTTTAATCGACGGAGTTGCAGACAGTGATTGTCCCACATTAATTGGTGATGCTGCTGTTGCCGTGTTGGCAGCGGCGCACAATTAATAAACACGGCAACATTCGCCAATAAACACAACGTGCTATGAAGAAGGGCCATTGTCCGAACGTCGCCTATTTTTATATTTTTTTAATTTCCCCCCTCTCCCCTGCTAACAGTGTTATTGACGAATGTTTTTGGGATGTTTTTTAGTCATTGTCCCCGGCTCGACGAAGGAGTGACGATGAGCAGGATGAAGTGCCATCTGCGTTGCAAACAATTAATCCAATTGCCCCCCTTTTTAAGGGGACGGCGGCTCACAATATTACGCCAACACGTGGTCGGGTGTCGAACCGAAGTTGGT